TGGGCTGGGGATTCGAACCCGCCACCTTAGGTGTATGTGGCTGGCACCTTAGCTGCTTGAGCCACAGGCGCCGAGCCAGTCCAGTGGCTTTTTAAAATAAGTTTTGGGTGACTGATTTTAGACTAGCCTATGTCAGTATTTGAAGCTATGAATTTTCCTTTAAGTACTATGTTAGCTGCATACTGAAATTTTTTTTTTTTTTGAAACAGAGTTTCACTTTGTCACCCTCAGGAGAGTACCATGGTGTCATAGTTCACATAGTTCACCTCAAACTCTTGAGCTCAAGCAATTCTCTTGTCTCAGCCTCCCAAGTAGCTAGGACTATAGGCGCCTACCACATAGGCTATTTTTAGAGACAGTCTCAGGCTTGCTCAGGCAGGGCTCAAACTTGTGAGCTCAAGCAATCCACCCACTTTGGCCTCCCAGAGTGCTAGGATTACAGGTGTGAGCCACTGTGCCTGGCATGCATCTTGAAATTTTTAATATATTTCATTACATGTAGTTCTAATTTTTTTTTTTTTTGAGACAGAGTATCACTTTGTCACCCTCGGTAGAGTGCAGTGGTGTCACAGCTCACAGCAGCCTTAGAATCCTGGGCTTAAGCGATTCTCTTGCCTTAGCCTCCCAAGTAGCTGGGATTACAGGTGCCCACTACAATGCCTGGATATTTTTTGTTTTTGTTGCAGTTGTCATTTTTGTTCGAGCTGGCTGGGGCTGGGTTAGAATCTGCTAGCCTCAGTATATGTGGCTGGCGCCATAACTACTGTGCTACAGGCCCCAAGCCTTAGTTGTAATTATTTTCTAATTTCCTCTGAATCATTATTTTTTTTTTTTTGTAGAGACGGAGTCTTACTTTGTTGCCCTTGGTAGAGTGCCGTGGCGTCACACAGCTCACAGCAACCTCCAACTCCTGGGCTTAAGCGATTCTCTTGCCTCAGCCCCCCGAGTAGCTGGGATTACAGGGGCCCACCACAACGCCTGGGTATTTTTTGGTTGCAGTTTGGCTGGGGCGGGGTTTCAACCTGCCACCCTTGATATATGGGGCTGGTGCCCTACTCACTGAACCACAGGTGCTACCCCTCTGAATCATTCTTTGACCCATGAATTATCAGATGTATGTTGTCTAATTAGCAAATGTCTGGGGTTTTTCCTAAATATCTTATTGCTACTGATTTCTTCTTTAGTTCCATTGAGATCAGAAATATCCTTTATGATTTCAGATCTTTTAGTTTTATTGAGACTTGTTTTATGACCTAGTATATTATCTGTCTTGGCGAATATACCATGTACAGTTGAAAAGGATATGTGTTTTGAATTGTTGTGTTGAATATATTCTGTAATATCAATTAGATTAGGTGGTTGATAGTATTATTTAGATTTGTTTCTTAAATGATTTTTTGTTTATTTCGGTCAGGTGCTGAGAGAAGGTGATAAAGTCTTGAATTATGACTGTGGAATTGTCCAGTTCTTTTTTTTTAAATCATTTTTTATTAAATGATAACTTTGTACATTGATACATTTATGAAGTTCAGGGTACTGCTTCGATATACAATGTGAAATGCATACATTGAACTAAGTAACACATCCATCACAATTATACTCATTTCTTACTAGTTTTGAAATGTACCATTGCATCATTCACATTAGGTGAGGTGCCCCCAAATACCTTCCCTTTTTGTCCACCTGTTTTTAAATTCTACTAAGTTTTGCTTATTTTGAAGGTCTAGTATGAGGTTATGTTACATCCTCCTAATGTATTCACTATTTTATCAATATGAAATTTCCTTCTGTCTCTGGTAATATATTTTGGTTCAGAGTCTACTTTATCTGATGTGAATATAGCCACTCTGGTATTATGCTTACTATGCTTCCTGTGTACTTTATTGGATTACTTGCTCTCTGCTTCTCTACTTCTCTGTGTCTTTCTACTTAATGATGGTGTATGTTCTTTGGAGCCTCTGATCGGAGACGCCGGGGAAAGAACTGCAGGTGGAATGATAATTGAAGGGAGGCCGGGGCTCGCTCTGGTCGGTGGCCCAGCTAAACTTTACTGATTATCTTCTATACTTTCAAACATTTAGTAAGAATTTAACACATATACAAAGAAGTGGAGTAACTTTAGGAAGCTGCCATTTAAGATTACAAATCAGTGTGAAGGCTGAGGAAAACATATACAATTGATTTTGTTTAGAGTAAAAACATAAGAGAGACTGGCTGTCTGTTCTTTTTAGCCCAGACTGAAACTAGAGATTATAATGTTAATGAAGGGGGAAGACAGAGAACAGGACCCAATGCTCGAAGACAGGTTTGTTCACCCCCAGCTGTGACCCTGGCTGATTCTCCACAATTTCTTTTAGAGAGATCTTTCTGCATATTTCTGCATATCTATAGGCAGGTACAGAAGCTTGATCTTCAAAGAAATGTTTCTCAGAATCAATCTCCTGGAGGAGCACATTGAAGCGAACTGCCATGTCTGAGCAATGGGTGCTTATCTCCTACAACTTAAAATGGGTTTCTTTTTTTTTTTTTTGAGACCAGAGCCTCAAGCTGTCGCCCTGGGTAGAGTGCTATGGCACAGCAACCTCCAACTCCTTGGCTTAAGTGATTCTCTTGCCTCAGTCTCCCAAGGAGCTGGGAGTAAAGCGCCTGCACAATGCCCGGCTATTTTTTGGTTGTAGTTGTCATTGTTTGGCAGGCCTGGGCTGGATTTGAACCCGCCAGCTCTGGTGTATGTGGTAGATGCCTTAGCCACTTGAGCTACAGGTGCCACCCAAAATGGGTTTCTTATAAACAACATATACTTAGGCCTTGCATTTTTATCTGTTCTCATTGTCTCTACCTTTTTAAAAAAAAGAGTCCATTAGAAAAAGTTCTACTTGGGAGGCTGAGGCAAGAGAATCACTTAAGCCCCAGAGTTTGAAGTTGCTATGAGCTGTGATGCCACCGCACTCTACCAAGGGCAACATAGTGAGACTTTGTCTCAATAAAATAAAATAAAATTTATAGGCTGGGCACAGTGGCTCATGCTTGTAATCCTAACACTCTGGGAGGCCAAGGGAGGTAGATAGCTTGAGCTCATAAATTCAAGACCAGGCTGAGCAAAAGTGAGACGCCGTCTCTACTAAAAATAGAAAAAAATGAGGCAAGAGGATCACTTGAGCCTAGGAGCTGGAGGTTGCTGTGAGCTATAATGTCACAGCACTCTACCCAGGGCAACAGCTTGAGACCCTGTCTGAAAAAATAAAAAAATAAAGAAAAAAGTTCTTAATATAATA